ATTATTTGCCCAGCTGGCGTTGTTCAGTGATTGAGCATCAACCTATGACCAGGAGGTCAGGGTTTGACTCCCGGTCAGGGACATGCCCGGGGTTGCAGGCTCAATCCCACGTGTGGGGTGTGCAGGAGGCAGCCGATCAATGATTCTCTCTCATCACTTATGTTTCTCTCTCTCTCCTTCTCCCTTTCTCTCTGAAATCAATAAAAATATATATTTTTAAAATTATAATAATAAATAAAATAACCCAAATTAGTAAGTTTTATATTATCGGGTCTAGTAATAATTAGTGTCGTTTTAAACATTCGTTTAAAATCTTGCTTGGCGTTGACTTGTATTGGCATAACCTTCAAACACGTGGTATCTACAGAACGTGTGAAGTGCAATTAACCAGTGTTGCTTGAAAAAGTTTGTGTTTGGTTTGGTTTTTGTTGCAAAACTAGGGCTAAGAAGATGGCGGATGAAGAGCATATTCGGCACTGCATGCTTCACGAGTTCCAATTAGGAAGAAAAGCAAGTGAGGCTGCAAAAAACATCTGTAGTGCTCTTGGTCAAGATGCAGTTAGCGCCAGAAAATGCCAGCGTTGGTTTGAGAAATTTCACCAGGGAAATTTTTCGTTAGATGACAAGAGTGGTCGAGGCCGTGTGTCCAATTTTGATCAAGAAGCTCTTCAAGCTCTTTTGGTGCAAAATCCTCAAATTACCCAACAAGAGCTTGCGACAACTTTAAATTGTTCACAAAAAACAATTTCCAATCAATTGCGTGCACTTGGCAAAGTCCAAAAGTTTGGGAAATGGGTTCCTCATGAGTTGACCGACAACAACCGTAATCAAAGAATCACAATTTGCAGTTCGCTCCTCTCTCGTCAAAACCGTTTGCCGTTTTTAGAGCAAATTGTTACCGGAGATAAAAAAATGGGTGCTGTATGTTAATTTGAAAAGGCAGCCTCAATGGTTGGACAAAAATGAGGCTCCGCAGCCCACGCCAAAACCTGACTTGCATGCGAAAAAAGTGATGTTGTGTGTTTGGTGGAATTTTAAAGGAATTCTTCATGATGAACTTTTACCATCTAACCAAACCATTACAAGTGCAGTGTATAGTGCCCAATTGGAAAGGTTAGCCCAAGCTTTAAGAGAAAAAGAACCCGCGCTGATTAATCGGAAGGGCGTAATTCTTCACCACGATAACGCACGACCGCATACTGCAAGAATCACTGCTGAAAAACTGCGCCAGTTGGAATGGGAAGTTCTCCCTCAACCTGCATATTCTCCTGATATTGCCCCTTCCGATTACCATTTGTTTCGTTCTTTGCAAAACTTTCTTCTTGGAAAAAAATGTAATAATGAAGAATGCCTCAAAAATGCATTGACCGAATTTTTTGCATCAAAATCACAAGAATTTTACAACAGAGGGATTAAAATGCTTCCTGAGCATTGGGCACAAGTAGTAGAAAACAATGGCAACTATATTGTTGATTAAATTTTGTTGTATTGTTTAAATAAATTCGATTTAAAAAAGTATTAGAAAACGACATTAATTATTACTAGACCTAATATGTATATTTTATCGTAATATTTTAAATTCACATTTTTTAAAAAAACAGACATTTGTTTAAGGGCTCTATGGTGCAGCCTTTCATGTGGTTTATTCTCCAAGAAGGACAACTGCTTCCTAGCGGTGACCACCAGGAGTTCTAAATCCTGTCTGAGAGAACAGGCCATTGGGGAAATCTAAATTAAAAACAAGACTGCCCGAGCCAGTGTGGCTCTGTGGATAGAGTGCAGGCCCTCAGACTTGAAGGGTCCAGGGTCCTTGGTTGCCGGCTCTATCCCTGGTCCCAGGCAAGGTGCGTGAGGGAGGCAGCCAATCCAAGTGTCTCTCTCACATGGATGTTTCTGTCTCTGTCTCTCTCCCATTCCCTCTAAAAATCAACAGGAAAAAAAAAAAAAAATATATATATATATATATATATATATATATATATATATATATATATATATATATATATTTATCTATATATATATCCTTGGGTGAGAGTTAACAACAACAACAACAAACAAACACAGCTCCAAAAAAAATCATAAAACATATACAAAGTTTGTATAAGTTAAGAGGAGAATATTGTTAAGATATGGAGAAAATGCTACTTTTGGAGAACAGGTACAATAAGAAACAGAAGAAACCCTTGGAAAGCATTTGCTTCACATTCTCGAGAAAATATGAAGAAATGGAGGTGAAGTTTAAAACATTATTAAGTGTTTTCTAAGATGTAAACTGATGTAATAAAGTACAGGCTAAAAAAATTTTTTAAACTATAAAAATAAAAATGTCATCGATTTACTGTTATAGATAGGGCAAAACAGAGAGTTGACACTACAGAGAAATAATTCAGTAATATAGAGGACAAATTTTAGAAACTATTCCAGAGGGCAGAGGAAAAGGACAAATCAAACTATAATTTCTTTACACAGACAAGTAGTATAAATTTTGCACCCCTGCTATACAAATAATCAAAACTATATATGATAATAGGGATATAAAATAAGTTAAAAGACAACTTTAAAAGAAAACACTACAGAATGATATAAATTGAAAAATCTTAATAAAATAGACCACATTCAGGAAAAAAATAAAAATGACCTATGGTATATTAGCTCAAGTAGTATGCCAAGCAGGGAAAAAATATGCCAAAAGGTGCTGAAAAATTCATCAAAGAATTACCTCAAAAAAAAGGCCGAGAACCAGATAATATCATTAGCACATTCTTTCAAACTTTCCCCCAGGGGCACCCTCAGAAAGTACAACTAACAGTAACAGGACTTGGGAAAAGATGGAATGCTCCCAGTTCCTTGGGAAGCAAGGCTGCCAACAGTACCCAATCCTGCACAAAGTCAGAGTACAGGCAGACATTTTCCTCAAAGCTTTGTTACTCCAGGATTTCTTAGTGCCTCTAATCCTCTGTGACATTCCAAAAGGAGGGTGGTGGAGGCGGTGTGGTTCCAGCACTTTAAGATTTCTTCCAAGCTCCCCCAGACGCTTCTCGTGACCATGCAGAAGCTACCCAGGAGCCAGGGTCAGGCAAACAGAAGATTAAGATGACCCAAGAGCAGGAAGAGATTAACTAAAGCACTTATACCAAATGCATATATGCAGAACCATGGACACAGACAATAGTGTGAAGGCCTAGTGGAAGGGAGGCAAGGGGTGGGGGAGGAGGGTCAATGGGGAAAAGGGGAGATATCTGAATACTTTCAACAATAAAGACAAATTTTAAAAAGAACTGCTAGAATAGTAAATGGTAACAAAACACACAGACTCATTAATAAGAAGGAAATTAGGTCTTTTGGGAGAATTCATTTCCAAAAGAATGCTAAAGCAAGCATAGAATTGTGTTTTGACATAGTGTATATTGTCTATGATGTCATAATTTTTCTCTTGAAAGAACTGACAAGAATCTCCGTTCTTAAATATGAACACAAACATAATAAAAAGAACACCGGTGACAGTGAATGTATTCTACCTAATTCTCATTATATTTGACTGTCCTATCAATGAGTTCCTTATTACAAAGACACTTAAATTATCCATAGAAGTAAAAGAAAAAAATAAAACAAGAAACTGCTGCTACTAGTAATGTCAGAGGGAATACTACTTGCTATATCAATACATCAATAGATAGATAGATAGATAGATAGATAGATAGATAGATAGATAGATAGATAGATAGATAGATGGATGAATATTATATGTCATGTTTGGTTCCTCAGATATGTTTACCTATAATATTCTTATCCAACAGGTCGTGACCAAAACTATTAAGCCTTATTTTTATTCTCTTTTAAGAATATTTCTTTCCAAAAAAGAATATACAGAAGACTACACAGAGGAAAAGAAATTCACAAGAGATAAATATAGGAAAAGAAAAATATATTGCAATATATAAAATTGCAATAATAAAACAATGCTGAGGCACAAAGTACATTCTGCTGCTGAGAATGTAATTTGATTCAACTCTTCTAGGAAGCAACTGGCCATATGTATTTAGAACTTAGAGTACACTTATTCTTGGACCTACCAATCCAACTTCTATCAGTTCATCCTGGAGAATTAATTTTTAATATTAAAATTTACATACTTCAATGTACTGAATACAATTACTAATAGCAAACAAAGCATAACAAACCAGGAAATGATCTAAATGTCTAAAACTGCAAAGAATTCATATGGCACATTCATATGATTAATTAAGCAACAATTAAAAACAATGCTTTGGGAAATTTTTAATAATATAAATATGTTTTTTGGGGAGAAAGAACACAAAATATAAAGTACAATATTAAATATATTTTAAAATATGTTTATGTAGGAAAAACTATAGGTTTTTCCTATAGGTAATATGATCTGTGGGTGGTGGGACTCTGAGTGAATATAATTTTTATATATTTCTAACATCTAACTTTTTGCACCAAACATGTATTACTTTTATAATTAGAAAAATGATTTTTTTTAAAAAACAAACAATTATTGCACATGGATAAATACTCATGTGAGTGAAAGAGAACAATTCTAAGTCTCCATTTACTAAGGACAAAAACATTCTCAACATCGTGCACAGAATTCCATCCTCCCAAATGTGCCTCTCACACCGGTGCACATTAAAGCATAAAGACAGCAGGCAATCCAGCCAAATCCCTCAATAAGGACAGGCTGAGCTGCTTCTCCCAAGGGGGTGCAAAGCACCATGATCAAGAGGGGAATTCAGCTACCATTTTTTTTTTTTTTTTTTTTTTTAAAGCGCAGCTGTTTTCGGATACCCCTAGAACCAAGAAATAGGCTTTACAGAGGAGATTGAGGAGTGAGGAGTTACATTCTGGTGTGCACATTCTCATTCTCTCTCTCTCTCTCTCTCTCTCTCTCTCTCTCTGCTGCCATCCCAGCCAAATAACTCAAAGCAAGTCTTGCAGGTGCAGCCGCACCCCATCCCCTCGGGCACCGGGAGTACCTGTTTGTTGCGCCGCGAGGCTGCGGGGTGTCCGGGCTCCTCGGTGCTGCAAGGGTACCAGGAGTGGCCTCTCTGCTTTCCTCCTCCAACAGCCTGCAAAGCCGGGGATGGGGGGGGGGGGGGGGGGGGGGGGGGGGGGAAACACACACACACAAAAAAAAACAACTAAGTTGTTAGTCCTCACGGGGAGCGATGGTTGGCAAACTAGCTGCCTGCGCGCTCTGGCTCCCAGATAGTCTCCCGAGCCCCGGCGTCCCAGGCGGCTCGGCGGGACCGTGGGAAAGCACGCGGGGTGCAGAGCCCCGGACCCCGATGCCGCCGGACGGTCCCGCCCTGCAGTCCCCTGGTGGCGAGCGATGCACGCTCGGGCCCTCACCACACAGACCGGTCCCTCTCTGCCCACGCGGTGCCCTTGGGACTCAAGTGTCGCCCCTTCTGGAACCCCCCGCCTCGTCCAGCCCTGGGACCCGCACCTCCCCGGCACACCCCATCCCCAGGCCGCCGCTGCCCTTCGGCTGGCTTCGCAGCCGCCCAAAGTCCGCGCCCAAGTGCAGCGGGCCGGCGGGCGGCGGGCCCGGGGCGCACCGCGGGGCGCGGGCGGTTACCTGCGGCGGGCGGGCGCGGTGGCGGAGCCCCAGAGCAGGCGCAGCAGCAGCAGGCTGCCCAGCAGGGCGAGCAGCGCGCTCCCCGGCCGCATCCTGAGCCCCAGGCGCGGCAGCCGCCGCCGCCGCTGCCCCAGCGACGCGCAGCCCCGGCGGCCCCGGCCCGTGGCTCCGGCCGCGGCCGCCGCAGCCACCGCGGCCACGCACACCTCCAGGCTGGCCGCGGCGGGAGGGGGCGACAGCGCGCCGCGAGGTCCGCGCGGCGCAGTCTCCGCGTCCCGCGCTCCCGCTTCGCCCGCCGCCCGGCGCCCCGGAGGCGGCGCCGCTCCGCCGAGCTCGCTTCCTCCCGCCCGAAGCGCTCCGGCCGCTGCGGGTTCTGGGCTCCGGTGGCCGCCGCCTCCTCCTCCTCCGCCGCCGCCGCCGCCGCCGCCTCCGCGCGGGGTCACCTGAAGGTTGGGGCGCGGGAGCTCCACTCAGCGCAGAGGGGACTCCACCTTGTCTGCGCCTTCACCTGCTCCCCGAGGCACACGCAGCGCACCTAGGAGCGCTGCAGCCCCGTCGGCGCCCCTGCGGGTGGCAGGCGGGGCTGAGAGCGGCGGGGGAGGCCGGGGAAAGGGCTCGCTTTGAAAACTTTGAACATCGTGTAGTCGCTCTGCCGGGCTGTCCCACGCAGGAAGGCTGCCAGGAACTTGGCAGGCATTGGGTAGATTCCCGTGCCCCATAGAAGGAGTAACCTCTCCTGGCTTAAACGCAGAATCCAAGGTACAGAGAATCCATTTCTAGGGTCAGGCAGTCTTTAGGGGGTCCTGCAAACGACTGCCCCTGGGCCAAATCCGTCCCTGCCTGATTCTGTAGTTTTAGTGTAACACCTCCCTCTCCATGCCTTTGTATTATCATCAAGGGCTGTCTGTGCCTAAGTACCTATGGCGGCTCTTATGACGCAGTGCCAAGTGGAGCAGTGGTGACAAAGATCATAGGGCCCACAGAGCTAAAAAAAAAAAAAAAAAAAAATTTACTAGCTGGCTCTTCTCAAAAAAAGTTGGTAGCTTCCTGATCTAAATCATATTGGTCTAGATTCTATTGGTGAGCATCTCATCTGTTACTGACCTGTTTATTGCAGGAGAGTAACCCGATGGCAGTGAGACAGCCTGGTTCCCCCATTACTTATTTGGGACTTTCATTCCTAAGCCATCTTTCTACACCTGTAGTCCTCAGACTTCCTAAGCCCCCATTGTATCACCTCCCCAAGTTTTGCCCCTAACTCTGGACCCTTGAGGCACATCAATAATCCACAAACTCTATAATGTATACATGGGGACTCATTAGACTACTCAGCCTACCTTTGTCTAAATTTGAGATTTTTCTAGAAACAACCTTTAGACTCTATCATCTTGTGAGTACCTTAATAAAGGCTTTAGTGAGTAACTTTCCCAGGCAACAAAAATATTCATATTTCAACTGGAGTCTCTTAGGGGCATAAGATCTTAACCTGGAAGAGCAATGTAAGAGTCTTTTGGGGAGCAAGTAGGCCTGACAGCTCAATCGAGTTGCCACCAACAAGTTCGTCACTGAAAAAAATTAATAAATAAACAACATTAAGAAGAGAAAAGAACAGCCAAAACCGGTTTTGCTCAGTGGATAGGGTGTTGGCCTGTGGACTGAAAGGTCCCGGGTTGGATTCTGGTCAAGGGCATGTACCTTGGTTGTGGACCCATCCCCAGGGTGTGTGTGTGTGTGTGTGTGTGTGTGTGTGTGTGTGTGTGTGTTTGGGGGGGGGGGGAGTGTACAGGAGGCAGCTGATTGATGACTCTCATTTATGTTTCTGACTCTGTCCCTCTCTCTTCCTCTCTGTAAAAAAATCAATAAACTATATTAAAATTTTTTTTAAAAAGAGAGAGAAAAAAACAGCTGCTAGTTTCTTTTTGCTAACTCTGTATTTGTTCTAGTTAAAAATATTTAGTTGAAAACATACCAGAACTTTGTACATAGTAATTGATCAATAAATGTTTGGTCAATTAATAAAACACCTCAGAACTAAACAAAACAAAAACACCTATTTTTAAAGAGAAAGGAACAAAAAACTGAAAATGTGACTAGAAATATTTTCTTTCATAGCTCACCATTGCTACTAAAATACATACTAATCAATGAAGAAAAAAATGCCACTTTTATGTAAGACTTACATTTTTAGGGCTCCAACCACTTAACTGAGTCTAGTATAATACTGCAATGCTATTTTCAGTGCTAACATAATAAAGCAATCTAATTATACATGTTTGAAAGTACATATTCTGTTAGCTAAGTAGGATATGGCACAACTATCTTGAAAAGTCTGGATTTGAAGATAGTCTGAATGAAAACGTTGTTCAGATTTGGAAGATAATCTCAATTTTATTTCTCTTAGAGGAGAAAAGAATTGTACAGAAAACTCACACTGAAGATTGTTTGCAGAAAAAGAAAAGGGCATTACTGTATCAGCCAGGAAGGTGCAAGTTTACCTAATTTACTGAAGTTTAATATTTCAGCACAGCTGGGCTCAAGGCAAGAACAGAAGAGCCATCTTGCACTGAGCTTCCTAACCACCCTCGCTGAAAATGAAGTAACTTTTTCCAAGCCAATGGCTATCAGCAGGGGACTTGCAAAAGCCCATTTTAATTGGAAAACGAAGTTTAAATTTGCAATGAAAATTCTGAACTGGGTGCTAAAATTTGACAGTAGGGAACTTTACCAAAAGCTTTGTAATTGAAGATTTGGATTGGTAAAACATGAATTATCATGCTTATACTTGAGAGATAAAAGAACTTGACAAAAACACAATTCCTAAATGTTTTCAACCATTGAACTGATACTGGGAAATTGTACATTTGGTAACTTAACATTTGCAGGTTTGACCAATAGCACAAAGACCTATGCCATGTAGTAATTTGAGATTCTACTGTGGCTTACAATAGACCCAGAAACTCAGACTGATGTGCAGAAGCCCAAGTTGCTCATCCACTCTACCCATAATTTGCTTCTCATTTTTTCTTTTCTTCTTTTTAAAAAAATATATATTTTATTGATTTTTTTACAGAGAGGAAGAGAGAGGGATAGAGAGTCAGAAACATCGATGAGAGAGAATCATCAATCAGCTGCCTGTTGCACACCTTCTTCTGGAGATGTGCCCGCAACCAAGGTACATGCCCTCAACCGGAATCGAACCTGGGACCTTTCAGTCTGCAGGCGATGCTCTATCCAATGAGCCAAACCGGTTTTGGCTGCTTCTCATTTTTTCTATGTTATTATTCATTCACCACCAAGAATGCTCTCACTTTCACAAAATAAATTTTTCAAAAATGATTGTGAGGTTCTGATAGATACAAAATGTATAATTAAAAATCATTGCAGGAAGGTGGGTTTCTTATTTTTGGTTCTACACTTTTCCATACGTATGGTTTGGGGATTCATGAAAAAGAATCAAGTGTCAACAATATCTACTCCACAACAGTGGGAACTCTTAGTATAAGGCAAGAACGGAGTGCTGTGAGGAACATATAAAATTGATCCACCAAAGAATCTTTTCCTTTATTTGGTTGACATTTTAACTCCCATGTCTAGAAAGAATGGTTTCTGATGTCTTCAGCTTGTTTGATTGGTTTTAGTAATATTAGAGATTTGTGAAGACTGCAGAGCAAAAGCACATTTATAAATATTAATTATTTCCTGGGGGAGAAAACTCATAAGAATAATATAACCAAGACTACATATTTTCAATAAAAATATGTAGGATATAAATAAAAACAGAAATAACTTCAAGAAATCAATAACCTTTTATGGAGGGTATGTTTTCAAATATTTTTTTATTCAAATTGGATTTTTGCTCATTGCTAATTGAATACAAAAATGGAATTAATTTTGTGTACAAAGTAGTTTTAAGTTTAAAGATAGAATATCTAGGATGACATAAATTATAGGTAGGCTTTATGCATATAAAAATCAGATTTGTAGTACAACTAAAATTACAAAACAAAAAAATTAATAAGAATTATTATTCACATAATAAAATTGATTTTTAATGTATAAAACATTCAAACTTTTAAAACACCTCTCCCTGTCTACTTAAAAGATCAAAAAGGATAAAAACAGAAGTGGAAACAATTTATCCTGAAACTATAAAATGGCCACAGTCCCATCCCACAAACTGCAATAATGCCAGCTAAAGGTGAACTAATTGGAGAAGAATGCCAACTTCAAGACACATTTCCTATTTGTGACCTTAGATTTACAAAGGGAAAAATGAAAGTTTTTGAAGATTCTGCTAATACTCATTTTGGAAGAACAAAGATTGGAAGCAAACGACCACAAAAACGAGTAACAATCAATGTATGGCCAGGGCCTTGGAGTTGAAGGAGAGATAGTGACCAGTATTTCTGTTTTCAGTGAATTCAGCTTTCTAGCCAGAGGATAACTTAGAGATAATACTAATCTTAAAGAGAAATGCTACAAAAGAATTTTGTAGCTACTGATTAAAGTCAATTTACCAAAGAGAAATGAGCAGCTAGTCTACATATTTAATAACTAAAAGGCCCTTGAGCCATTGGTTTTTATACTGAATTGGCCTCTCCTAGCATCTCTTGCCTAATTCCAGGTTTTGAAAGACCAGGTAGAACTCTAAATGTTTCAACAGATTGAAGGTTGGGGATTGTGTCTCCAGAGGTAATGTACACAAACCTGCCATATTTTTTTCCTTAGCTTTTCTTCCCACCCCTTCATTTCATACACCCTAAATTATTAGCAGATAAATAACAAACAAACAAAAAATAGCAAACCTTAATGCAAAACTAAGTTTCAACAAGTGGACAAGTAAAAAGGAAGGACTGCCAAAGATTTTTCCATTCACAACATTTCTGGCAAGTAGCAGACAAAATCAAGTATGATTTATTTCAAATATGAATAAGCAGGGGGAAAAATCTGTAAAATATAAGATAAAAGAAAATAAATATAACCAATAAAAAGGCAATGAAGACTATATATTGGATATACTCCAAAAAGACTTACTCAAGGAAATAGTAGAAAATTTAAGCAAGAATCACTTCCTACTCCCCAGGAACTGAAA